TCTGCTATTCCAGAATATTCCTTCATTTTTCATCGTGGAATTTTTTCTTTTGTTTAACTCTTACACTCCTACATACCACTGATGTTGGATAAACCTTCCTCTTCCGGGTTCTTTTTGGTTTATCCTTCATCTCCTCAGCATTTTGAGGATCGATTTCAGGAGTAGTATCTGGCTGCAAAGGGGCCACATACCCCTCTGGCACCATATCTACCTCCTCTACTTCTAAGCCCTCCGTGGGGACCAAATCCTCACAGAGACTCTGAAGCATTGTTACTCCAAGATCATTTATATGTTTTTCATTCATAGGTTTTACCGCCGCTAAATTTTGAATTAAATCTATAGCTCTGTCCGTCTCTAGGTCTATAAGATCATTAATGGATTTTGCAGTTTCTATATCATCACTACCAAGAGAAATCCCTAAGTTGCTGGCTTTATCAATAATTTCATCCTCAGAAAAATGCAGAATGGAACAACTTTTGTTAACCGACATACCTGTCCGAGCTTCGATGTCCCAAAGCTTGGCGGCCCTCATAGAGTGCCTCATATGTATGTCATCTGAGTCCGGTTGGGCCTGGATCCGGTGACTAATACGCCTGTCACCGGACATAGGATCCGGAATACCTCCAAAAGCAATCACATCCTCTAGAGTAACTCTGGCCGAGCTGTGGCCGCCTACTGTATGCCCGACCGAGGCCAAAGCGGTAGGAGATGGGACCGGTGCAGCGTCGATTGGGACAACAGACACACTGATTGGATGGTCCTCATCACCAACCAGCGGGGACACCACCTGTGTCAAGCTGGTAGGTCAAGGCGACTGAAGGTGCGGAGTGGATCGGGGCGAACCCGATAGGTCAGCTACAACGTCACCCTCCAATGCAGGAGGAGTAGGCGCTACCATAGTCGGTACCTCAGGAGCAGCTTGCCGCTCACACGACATCATCTGCACTGGACCCTCAACCACCACCTGCCTGTGATGCTCCTCAATCATCTCCAAGGGAAGACCATCGACCGAGTCCCCCATCTCCGCACGGTCACTCCATAAGCGACTCGGCGCGGACATCATCTGAAACGAATCAAACCGGAGAGAAGCCGCCCGAGTGGAGAAGGAGGCCGACCCCTTCTCAGTGCTCGGCTCAGCCGACGGTGTGGACTTTTCGGCCGGTTTCTCATTCCTACCGTGGTTACCATCCATTCCCTATCCACCGCTACCAGCTCCACCATCAGTCATATCAACATCTGTGACTCTAGTGTTATTATCTGCCTGAGAAGCCTCCTCAACCGTAATATCAAGATCATAAGACACACCATCATAAGTCAATGGTACATAATCTGGAATATATTGCACACCCACCACACTAACAAGCAGCCTGGCAGCTCCATGCAGACGAGTAAAAGGCATATCTACCTTCTCTATTTTCCCTAACAGAGATCCGAGACTGGAGACAATAAGAAAATCATTAAGCAAAGTCTCCGGAACCCTTGAGATTTTACCCATACCTTCTCCATCGGCATCCCCATCGGCTCAGGTTTTCTGCACTCGTCAAACTCAAGAATACACTTACTCCCGGGCACCTTACTGAGGCCACACTTAAGCAAGTGGTTAAGATCCTCTCTCCTAGGGAACTCCACTCTGTAAACCTGATTCTCCAACCAAACAGGATACTAGCGAAGAGACTTAGAAACCAGCCGTCTGAGCTGCTGACACACCTGTTCCTCTGTCAATGTCCCCTGAGTAACCTTGACCAAACCAAATTTTGAGCTCTCCGACGTAGGGGTCGTCGAGATCGTACGAGGAGTCTCGAAGAACATGAACTTGTTGTTGCAAACACCATAAATATTCACCACAGGTGTGGGTATCAACAACAGTGTGCAGTCACCAGATAAGTGTCCAGGCTTCAGACATATATCGCATAGAACTGCCTTGCAGTCAACCACAAAGTGACCTGACACCCCACAACGATAGCATGTCATCTTTTCTTTCTTGTAAGCCGCCATTATTAGCCCTCACAATATCTGCTTTGTCACTGCCTTTGTCACTCATCCCATCTTTGTCATCGGAAGGCGTCGGGGCCGGAACGGACACCACCGCCAACGCCGAAACCACATCCATCGCAGCAACACCCAAAGTTGCCGTGGAAGTAAAGGCAGTGGTCGCGGCTGCCTTCGCCACCCCACTGTCGGACTTTGCCGGTTTGATTGTCGGCTGCTTAGGGTAGACCTTGGGGATGTATGGACGATGTGGAGGGGGGTTTCGGCCTCCCCCTCCCCAACCACCCCGCTGACAATAGTGAGGTCTTGAAGCACCCTCAAAGAATTCGCCGGGGGGAGGATTGAAATTATGCTGCCACTGATTGTTGCCAAAACCTCTTCCTCCCCCGTCATTCCATTGGTTCCATCCATTGCGATAGCCCTGATAGCCACCGTCATAGCCATGTCCATTAGCAAAGCCGCCTCGACCATTGTTAAAGCCACCACGTCCCTGGTTGGGCTCGTCGCGGCCGCCGCCTCCGGAACCAGACCTGAAGTCATCCCGACCTGCGCCGCCTTGCACCCCGCAGCCACCGATGTGACCCGCGTGTGGAGTTGCACGGGCCTGCCTGACCTCAACGGCCCCGCGCCCAGCCCCATCACCGCCTAGCTGAGCAGCCGGCTGCAGCGGCGGCCACTGCGAAGGAGCCCGGGGGGGGGGCATCTCCCCGACCAGCCATGGCCGCCGGCTGGATGCGGAGAGCTCTGCCAGACAAAGGAGGGAAACCCGCCGATAGCCACCTCCGAACCCTAGCCTCGCCCTTGACAGAAGGAAAATGTCGAACGACAGCGCTGTCGCTCGAACAAACCAACCCGATATCATTGATCGCGTCAGAAGGAGCCGTATACCCGTATGATCCCAACCCATCGCTCGGTCCGTCGCACTGGGTCATACACCCAGCTGCCACTGACCAACTCGCCGAAGTAGGCCCATCCGCGCCCAACAGGAATTTCAAACGAGCCGCCCTAGCTGATCTGATCCCGTTCGCCGCATTTTTCGGCGAGCACGCCGCCGGCGGCATCAACTTCCGGCTGGCAGCCGCCCGGTGCCCTTTCTTCTTCCTGACGACCAAGGTCCACGATTCAGGACAAATCATGTCAAGCAGGGTTAATTTGGGCATACATACCTTGGGGATGGGACCTTTCCAAGGCCGGATTGCCGTCGCCGCCGTCCTCCGATGAACGACTCGTCGGACCACTTCCATCTTCTCGTCGGAGCGCAGCCCCATCCTCGCCGGATCGTCAGGAGGAACCACCGCATCGACGAGCTACGCTACATCCTCCTCCTCATACCCTGGAGCGAAGGCCTCGCAGATCACGTCGGACGGGGTAGGCGAGTATGCCACCGGCGAACCGCCAGGGCTAACCCCGTCCTCGTCGTCTTCTCCGTCTGCTAGCACCGAGAAATGTCCGCCAATTCGCCGATGATCGACGGGGATAGAGGCACGTGAGCCGTCGCCATCCTCCGTCCGCCTTCGGGGTTTGGTTTCTCGTCCCACTCTCAGTGCGGCCCTAAAATTCGGGGAGAATTTCACTTCCCCGGCCTCTGCCAAAAAAAAAAGAATGTCTATTATATAAAAAAGAATGTCTGTGATGTTTTCAACTGATAGTGCATAGAAAGGAGTAAGCAAGTAGGAATACGTTCTCAGATTTATATTAATTCAGCCACTTCAACAAAAATAAGTCGAGACTTACATTCTGCCAACAAGAAACATCTTGTTAACAGATGAGTACCGTTTTAGGCATCTTGTTAACAGATGAGTACCGTTTTAGGCGTTTTATGTATACCATCAGACTTTTAAAGGCACATGATACTTATTATGCACTACTCCCTCTGTTTGGAATTACTCGTCCAAGAAATGAATGCATCTAGATGTATTTTAGTTGTAGATACATCCATTTTAATCTATTTTTTTGACAAGTAATCCCGAACGGAGGGAGTACTTATTATGCACTTTGCATCATGTCTATGAATGCTGATCCAAATTAAGATTATCTTCATGTGCACTAAAGTATCTGATTGTTCGTCCCCACTATAATGTTATTGCATAACCTGAGCCCACATCACAAACTCATGCTGTGATATCTGTTGACTATATGCTGGAACTAAATCTGTTGGGAATTGCAACAGGTGCACCTTCAAAGATCATCTTCAGAAGCACGAGCAGAACGAAGAGAGTACAGACCACAACACCGACAAAAATCTTCTAGTAGCCCAAACTCTCGCATCGAAAGTACTCAGCAACGCCAATGTTCACCTAGTGTCGATGGATATGCCGGTGACCTTCAGCATCGACGACGCCTCCGGCTTGTGCTGGCGATTAAGCAGCGAGATCCTGAGCACTTCAAACCCCTGACTGATCACTATCGTGGCAGATGGGCATACCTCGGAACCACTGGATCTCACCGTCAAGATGAACTCTGAAGACACGGCGTTCGGACTGAACCTCCTGAACAGAATCGTGGCGATCATAGAGTGAAGGGGCACTTTTAGGTTCTGTGAGTTTGGTTCAAATGCTACTTGTGTGGATACTGTAAATCATTGTACACTATTGTGAATGACGAGGGCTTAGAGTAACCTGACAGATTGTTGTACATCTTTTTACCATCTTGTATTCCTGTTCTCATTGTTAGATTTTTCTTTTTTTTCTGGTAAACTGGCGGCACGCGATAGCACGATAGAATGCGCGATAGCACGCGTCGCGGTGTGCTGCTGGATGGTAATATTGATGATGACACTAAGTAATGGCATGAGATTTTTTTGGGACAAATAAAATTCCAGAGTTTTAACCACAGTACAATTTTTTGGATTATGATGACATTGTACAGTTGATAAATCCAGTTGTATATACAGCAGGGATTAATGGCTACATCTCAGACAAACACAGTAAAAGCAGAGCTTGGCACACAATGATTTTCCTTCCAAGAAACTAGTAAAAAGAAAAAAGTAACTGGTAGAACAAATAAGCATGTCAAAAACCAGGTAGTATCCAAGCTAACGATATAGGCCTCACTAAGCAGCGCCGGCCATGGCCTCCCCAACCCCAAGTAACCCTGCCGAATTCTTCGACAGCCGCCGCGGGAGGGGCTCCCTGCTCGAATTCTTGGACCGTCAGCGCTGGCAGAGGCTTCATGACGTCTTCCATGGGCGGATGCTCTTTCTGCTCGAACAGTTCCGGGTAGTGCGAGTGCCACTCTGCATCGGCCGGCATCTCCATCTCCGCGTTAGGGGTGGCTTCCTTGTTCGCCGCGCCAGAGTCTTGATGGAAGGCTGTCGTCGTCGTGGTGGGTTCCTCTTTGGTAAGGATGTCCAACTCTGGCATGTTCTTGGTAAGGATCTCCAATGGAGATGGCAAGTCGTTCTTGGTAACGGTCTCCGCTGGCTCTGGCAAGTTCTTGTTAAGGGTCTGCAATGGCGATACCAAGTTGTTAGTAAGCATCTCTAGTGGCAGTGGGAAGTTCTTGCTGAGCATCTCCAGTGGCGATGTCAAGTTGGTGGTGAGCATCTGCAGTGGCCATGGCAGGTTGTTGGTGAGCATCTGCAGTGGCCATGGCAGGTTGTTGGTTTGCATCTCCTGTGGACATGTCAAGTTGTTGGTAAGCATCTGCAGTGGAGATGGCTTCCCACAATATGTTTTCATCTCCCATGGCTCTAGTTCGTCCTCCATGGTAATCATCTCCCATGGCTCTGCCGCGTCCTCCATGGCAACGATCTCCCATGACTCTGGTTCGTCCTTGGCCAAGACGTTCTCCAGCTCGTCCATGGTAAACATCTCCAATGGCTTGAGCTCATCCGTTGCATCGGCGGCGGTGATGTCATGCTCCCGGCGGCGCCGCCTCTTAGAAGACCGAGCGGCCTTGCTGGACTCTCCCTGCCCCTCCTTGTTGCCATCCGCCGCCGTCCTTGCCGTCTGGTGCACCCTGCAGTGCACGCTGACGCCGGCGTCGTCCGTGGCCGCCGGCAGCACGGTCCGAACTCCTCCATGAGCCACGCGGTCTTGCGTCCACACGCGTCGAGGTACTCGAAGGCTTGCCGGTGCCCGGCCCCGGCGACGGCGATCCGCTTGCCGTACCCGTGCCACGTGCCGCCACCCCAGACGGCGCGGCTGGCCCGGCCGCCCGGGCGGTTGCCCTTCCACCGCGCGACGCAGAGGAAGTACCAGGTGCGGTCGTCGTGGCCGAAGCACCGGTGCCGCGAGGTGAGGGCGGACGGGTCCTCGCCGTAGATGTCGGCGACGCAGACGATGCCCTGGCCCTCGCCAACCGGTGTCTTTCCCGGGTCGGCCACCCAGGGGTCGAGGTAGTAGCGGATGAGCTCCTCCCGCATCGGCGTGAAGCGGAAGCCCGGCGGCGCGTGATCCATGCCGGCCATGGCTTGAGGGTACTTCTTTTTAGAGGATCAGGATTCAGGAGTAGGGGGGCTTGCGCTCCGCCGTGTCGGCGTCGGCGACGGGAGCCATCGCAGTTGCTGCGGGACGTGATGGAGTTTTAGGGTTTGGAGACCGGCAGGGATCGGGGCGCGTATTGGAGGAGGACGTACGATGGCTGGCTTATTATAGATGCTGAGTCGGTCTACAATTGATCAATTGCAACCGACCTTAGGTAAAAAAATATACTTTTATATATGTGAACTTTAAATTTTTGTATAGAAAGAGAGATTTATTTTTGGTATAATATACGTCAACATTTTCTCACATTGCAGCACATAATATTTGTTTTCTTTTTTAACTGATGATTTTGCAAAATTATTTAAAAAATATATAAATTTCGAGATGTTTGGTAGAAACACGGTGCTTGTCAATGGGCGATGCTAGTTGCCGGCTCGTTTACGTTTCCCTTCAGACCGACTGGCTCATAGACCGGACAAGACTCGAACTGAGTTCCACTCTTCTCTTCCTCTATTTTCTCAAAACAAAGGCAGCATGCTTCCTTATTACTTGATGATATCCTGTGCGTTGCTGTGGAAATTGGTTGCGATATATCTTAATTAAATTTTATTGTGTGGAATATAATATTTAGAGTCATGAAATCTATTAATATTAAAAATACATATGACTTATTATATTTGATCATGTATAGTTGCAAAATATTTTTTTGAATACAAATAGAATAATAGAATGAAAAATCATGGCTCCTCCCTTTGTCTCTCCTCCAAGAAAAGGAGGCTAGGGTTTCTGCCTCCCGTCGGCATCGCCGCCGATCTCTCACGTCTCCTATGGCCTTAGGGTCATGGGTGCACGCTGGATCTCGGCCCTTGCCGGCGGGAGGGCTCCATTTTCAGGTGCTTCTTCAAGTTTTGTTAGGCTTTGTGTCCTGCTCAAGAAGACGAGACGGCGGCGGCTTCTTGAAGATGGAATAAGGTTCTCGCCGCCTAGCTCCCGTCCCAATGGTGTGTCTAGCATCGTGGAGGGCGTATGGAGGTGTGTCTCCGGCGGATCTCGCGAGATTTGGTCGGTGGTTGTCTTTGGTGGATCTGTTCGGATCTGGTCTTTGTTCGTCTTTGTTCATGTTTCTTCAGGTTGGATCCTTCTGATCTAAAGTTCTCTTCATCGGCGGCGGTTGCTGTTCTAGGGCGTTGGTCCTATGGGACCTTAGCACGGCGACTTTCCGACTGCCTACTACAACAAGTTGTGTCCGGCTCCGGCGATGGAGGGACGATGATGGCAGCGCGCCTTCGGCTCGCTTCAGTGCTTGTAGTCGTCGCTAGGTGGTCTATGAATCTGGATGTAATTTTTATTTTTTCTGGTGTTCGTTGTATTGCCATGATTGAAGATGAATAGATCGACGGTTTCCCGCAAAAAAAAGAAAAATCATGAATGGTTGCATTTGGTGGTGGATCTTTTCCATGTATGGGTGCATGTTGAGGTAGGTCATGCAAAGATATCACAATGCTCACAGAGGAAGCCGACGACCTCTATTTCCTACTATGAAAACTTTGTTTTTTCCACTCTAGATTTTGCCAATTTTTCTTATGCCACTCTAACGTCTGACATTCATTTCTACCACTGTTAGCTTTTGACAATGTATCACAACTGCCATTCCATGGCAAAAGAAAAAAAATCATTTCACTCTTGCCACTCAGAAACTTTTAACAATGTATCGCAATTGCCACTACAAATTTTGTTTTTGCCATAAAATTTGGCAAAGCCGAGAGTGGGAAAAAAATCCTTTCTTATTTGGGATCGAGGCCATCAACAATCTCAGCCGTCTTGTTTGGGTCGTGGGGTGCACCTGAACTTTCTCGGTGCCCGTTGCCGACTGGAAGGACGAATCTAGAGTCAGTTTCTTAGACCGAGGCATCTCTTTTTTTTGTGAGGAAACTTCCAATCTATTCATCTTCAATCATGGCAGTACAATAAACATCAGAAATAATAAAAATTACATCTTGAGCCGAAGGCGCGCCATCGTCATCGTCCTTCCCTCACCGGAGTCATTGTGTACATGAGAAATTTACTACTGGCTGCAAAGTTAATTGCACCATGTAATACTGAGTAAATATGATGGTTTCTGTGCACCTTTCGTCAATCAGTCGCCCTTTGTAACAGTGTTGCCCTCTTATAGTGATGTCAAAAAAGTTAAATGCATCAACACGTAGTATACGAGTAATTAACCATCTTGGTGTCACAGATTTTATCTTCGTTGATGTGATATGTTATCTTACATTTATATTATTATCTCTAATCTTTTAGTGGCTACTATCTGACCTTTGAAGTATTTAATCTAACTTTTATGTAGCATCAAGTGACTGGGTTGATAAAAAAGTGTGCATTTGTCAAACCTGCAAGACGATCTAAAGAAACAGAAGTCATGTAAATCTTTGTGGTTCCATTGCTACAAATGGAAGCAGGTAAAATACATTCCTCTGCGATCTTGCTATTGTTAAGATTTGAACTCGCCTTTTCCTCCTCCGAACGGCCATTGACTAACAATGAAGGGTGGAATCTTTCATCGTAAGTAAATCCTTGCCTTCAAGTTGGCATGTGAAGTGTTGTGACTGCTCTTAGAAATAGTTTTGTAGTATATTGTAAGGATATCCAGCAATAGTTTCCTGTATACTGTTATTTCGGCAGTTGAAAAATAATATGCCATTAAATCAGGAAGGAGCCTTGCATATCCCATTACAACTATTTCTGTCCTATTTTTCATAATAACCTTTGTGTTTATTGTCTTCACTCTGAAATCTATCTGCAAACAAATTCAAGGCAATTTTGATACTTCTACCATACAAAGTGTGCTATGTTTCAAAACACTAGCATTGGTGTCTTGTAGCTATTACTAGTGCTTAATGTTTAGGTATATAATGCCTCCACATATTTGTATCAAACACTAACATTCAGTATTACAAATACACGGACGCAGCAACGCGCGCCATCCATGATCTAGTAGTTTG